ACACTGCTCTGCTATAAAGCTTTATTTATTGAAGTCCATCCTCAAGGAGTTCACAGTAGTTACCCTCACATAAAATGTGATGCACAACTGAGAAATTAATTCTATCTACTTTGCCCTGGATCTCACTTACATCAGGTAAGACCTGCTCACAGCTTTGTGTTATTAATCATTTCAGCAAGGCATAGAAGAATTTCCTGGAATAGTTATATAGTATAATCTATAATACATAATAATCTATAATCACAGTTATACCAGCATAAAACTATTTATAGCAATGGAAAGTATTTTCTTTTCTGTAGAGATATATACTGACCAAAGCAAATAAGTGTAATTACATGCAAGGGGGGTAGATGGAAGATTTTCCTACAGTGGTACACTTACACTGATGAGACTGTAATATGGAGACAAACCTTAATGCCATACTATATCACTTTGGTCTGCAGGGTGGTTGTAGCACATCAATAAAAACAATTTATAAAGATCTTGAGGCAACTCTTTGGAGAGGAAAATTAAACCCTTTATATCTTGTTATACAATAGAACTTGTGGTTTGTAAGTAACTGTTGAATACCACCAAACCTGGAAAATGTTACATCATCCAGACCACAGTCATGGGAAAAGATGCCAGAGTAATAAATGTGTCTAGGATTGTGTATTTGAGTGATCTTATGTTGTTAAGAATGATGACAAGAATTTGTACTTTTTGTACTGTGATTACATTCACACTTCTGAGTCCATGGACAAAGTTTTAACTCAGCTGATTTTTTTTTTTGTTTCCAGCAATGACATTTGTCTTCAGTCAAAAATCTCAAATATAAACTGAAGTCTATTTAAGAACCTTTATGTTTAAGGGTATATAACAGAGAAATGTAAGTAATGCCTCCATTCATGCCATTGCATAATAATAACCAAATGTCCCTGCCATTCTAAAGAATAAAAAAGAAAAACCAAGCATAAGAATAAATAACAAACTTCCTGTCTCTATACAGATACAATTTTCATAGGAAGAAATGTAAAATATTTTCAGAAGCAAAGACAAACCAGCATTGCATTTTTCTTTGCTATGTGACAAGCCAAAATGTAGGCATGCTTTTAATAAACAGAAGCTCCTGTTTTTAGCAAAAGCAGTTAAAAAGTACACCATCTTAATATTTACCACTAAAAGGCTAGACATGACAGGACTTTTTTTATTGGAATGAAGAGTATCATAACACACATGTAAATGTTTTGATTGCCATTATACCATGATCACTATGCTGATACACAGAGAAAAATTGCTGGAAAGACATTTTTTTTTATAACTGTAGCTGAATACATTTTTGTGTGTTAGTAAAAAACAAATGCAGAGATAAAACAGGAAACAGGAAAACCCCCTGAGATGCAGCAGAGCTTACCTGACCACCTCCCAGCAGATCTGCTGCTTAGCTGTCCAGTGCCTGTGAGTCCCTGAAATAGTGAGACAGAATAAACTCAATGTAACCATCATGTAGCCTACTAAATTCACTTTAACACTTCAAAGGACAAAACATACTCATCATAAACTATTCAAACAGAGCTAGCATGCAACTCCAGCTGCAAGAGATTTTGTTCACAAACTGAACAGCAATCGGCCTGTACTTTAGTCGCATCAAAAAAGTAAACCAATCACATTGACAAAAAGCCACTGTAAACAAAAAGACTGTACTGAAAGGATTAACAGTTTTGGCATCCCTACCATCAAGTCTTCTGTTCTTTTTTTTTTTTTTTCTTCATCAAAATTTAGGTTATATATTTGTTGTTAGCAAGAGTTGCATTACTATTATTGTTAATTTTAGTTCTGTTTATTACCTTGAGGGTTATATATTGTAGAATAATTTTGTTGTCACTAGTTAATGTTAATTAGTTGTTTTAATAGCCTATATACCTATTTGTTATCTTTTGGTAGAGGTTTACTTTTTTAACTATCAGTAACTTAATAACTGAGAATATTTTACATTACTGTTGCATACTCAAAATTACAGAGTTACTATTAGTGTTACCTGTTTAACGTTTAGTCATCCTTTGAGTCCTGCGACATATTTCCTTAACAATCATCAGCCATCAAGTCTGATAGTCTCAAAAGAAATATCAGCCCTCTAAACTGCCTTCAAGGGCGGTGATATTTAGCACTGAAAATTACAAATAAAGTTTTTGAAGTTGAGTACCAACAGCTGGGCAGTGACACTGATGATTTGTTTATCAAGACAAATTGTTATATACTACGAAAAATGCAGTCAACGCACTCTTCTGAGTGAAAACAAATAGGTGAATCTATGCAATGCTTACATGTTGAATGGGATATTTAATGTGCGGGGAAACTCAAAGGTTGAAGAACTAGCATTTAGACAGTCTAACAGTGGTAAGTGGTATTCTTACCTCTTTAAACTCCATTACATTCTCACGAGAGACATGCTAATACAAACAAGTCAATCAGAGTTTGTGTTTAGCAAGATCAAGCTTAAAGGATAGTTTAAAATCCATTTATTGTTCTAAAGCATTTTTTTCCATTAACATGTTATACATTAGTGGATACTAACCATGATTCATGTAACAGTTTAGTTTGTTAACTTTTATATTATTTAACAACCAGAAGTTATTAATACAACTTTTAAAGTCTTACACAAAAAATCTTAAAACAGGCTTGGGTTCATTTTTGTAATTTTTATATAAAAACATTTTAGGCATCTCTTGAAAAAGAAATAAAGCAGGCATTTAAAGCTAGAAAACAAGTAATTCCAAATTTAGTTTGTTACAAAAGGTTTCAGCTTTATTGACAAATTATGGCAAACATATTTGACAAAATTATGGTTTCCTATTTAGAGAAGCTTACACATGGAACTTTAAGTGACTTTTTTTAACAAATACAGGTTAAAACACTGAACAACTTCAGTTAGCTACATACATACAGTAGCTGCTTGTTTTCAACCCCATTAAAACAGCATTTAAAATTAAATTTACAAACTTAATATCGAGCATCTTAATCTAAACTAACATATATTAAAAAAGACAGGTTAAAACATCTTATCTACAGCTTGATTATTGTCTGGCTAAAAAAAAAAAATCATATTACAGTCTTTCAGCAACCCTAAACAGAAACTCAGCCTTAACTAGTATGTAGAGAGACTCAAGAGCTGTAACAGTGTCATGCTTTTTAGTTACACACAGCAATGAATACAACCAACAGAACATCATCTTTGAATAGTTTATAGACAATGTTTGCCAAAGGTTTTTTGTCTCTGTTTTTTTTAAGTCCGTGTTATAAAATAATACTAATGCCAATGTCACGCCAATGTTATCGGAAATACAAGTAGTACATAGGATAATAATGAGCAGTAATTCCTAGGATAGAAAAGAAATGGACTATTACTTGTCTTGTTGCTGTTTATGTGGAGACCACAGGCTATTAATTGTCTTTGAGATGAGGTCACAGATGAGGAGGACCTTCAATATCTACCATAGGGGTGTTCCCTGTATCCCCCTCTGGCTGACCTTGGAGGTGGTGCCTTTAGGCTGGAACGGGTCGTGGCCCATTCTTCTTGTGCTAAAAACAGAAGAGAAAAACAAGTTTTGTAAATATCTAAAATTGAAAGAACAAAGGGATGCCACTGCTAATGGCCATCAAAATTCTTGAGGGCTCTGGCTGAAAGCTTTAGAAAACGAAATGAGGATGGTGTTATCCGCTTCTTTATCCTCCCACAAAAAAACTTACAGAAAACTAACCTACTTCTTTACACAGGAAACCTGTCTATTTTAGGAAGAAAAAAAAAAACTTACTCCTTCACTTTCAGCAGAGAATGAATAACTACTGTGTTGGCGGTACAGTCAGCTCTGGAAAAATCACTACATCAGTCTGCCAGTTCAGAATTTATTTGATGCTTTGAGTCTCTAGTATTTAAGTTAAAGCTGAAATTTGAACAGCATTTAATGCAGTTCAAATTCAGTTGGTATGGTAACAAGATGAGGAGTTGAATCATGAAAAGATAAGAAAGATATGTTTGATTTTTAACTTCCATTTGAGACCGAAAGAAAGAAAATAATGGAAGAAAAATGTGTAGAAGTGAAGCTACAGGAGATTTTACTTTGCAGTATCTTTAGAACACTTCTACAAATCTTCTTATTCCTACCTGACATGATATTTCTGGAATTTAACCCTCGCAAAATCACAATTAGTAAACTCCCTACAGTCCTGGTCCAGCAGTTGAACCCAAAACTTGAATTATCTCCTAAATCAGCCAGTGAGTCACCAAATGATTTCTGGTTTTGTCTTCCACTGACTTCAACTGATCACATTTAGAATGACTAAAATGGAAATGCACAAGCCACAGTGTATCATATCATGCCAGAGTGCAGCATTGCTGGTGCCTGTCTTTTGCTAATGACTGCTGACCACCAGCCACTAAGAACATAAATAGCTGTCATAAGGCAAAAAAACCTAAATGGTTAAATCAGGTATCAAATATTCCTTTTGCAAAAACATGTGACTATGAGAAATGAAAATAGAAAACATAAAAACCTTGTTAAAATTCTGAAAGTTATTTCTTCTCTGCAAGATGTCTTCTCTGCAACTACTCTTCATTATGTCATTGCCTTGAGGTATGAGGGGAGCAGCAGCTGTAGAGCTAAAGTGAGTTCAGGCTAGCATGAATGGAGTGGGCATCTCTGGAAAGGATCTGATAGCAGTTGATCTTGCTATGGAACAAGAAACACTCCTACTGTGATTTTTTGGTGCACTCCATTTATTTTCTTTCTCTTTGAGTTCTTCAGGATGTTCCCTTTTTGAAAATCAGGGGTTTTATGGTCACATGAAACCAAAGTTTGCTGTGGAAAGCTACTGCCTAGAGGGTTGAAGAAGTGGCAGCCAATATGATATGGTTCTAAATCCTCAGGTCTCTCATTCCTACAGGGAATAAGTTTCTGTATAGTGACTTCAAAAATCTTGCCTCTGCAGTATGTATCATTAGACCCTTTAAAAATGGCATTTTGCTGTAAATTTTTTCCAGCTTCAGTTACCGTTTGCTGAAGTGTTACTACATTTGCAGAGAGGCCTTGGGGACAAGAATGATTATACGAAAAAGAAAAGCTTCATTTATGTAAATGAAAATGACTGAAGTAGTAAAAATATTCAGTAAATGTACAACACAAAGACAAGCCAATTTCTGGTTCCTTTTTAGTCCCCTTACCATTGTCCAGATTGAAGTACCTTCATCTAAAGAAGGTACATTGTCCAGATTGAAGTACCTTCATCATGTACAGTCCTTTTGGTAGTATTCATGCAGTAAAAAATAACTTTATATTAACAACTGGAGGAAACTGCTTTTCCTTGACTATTCTTAAAGCAAATTGCTCCTGTGACTGTACCAGCTTCTGATGTGGAACAAAAAATGTATCATAATTTGTGGTACAAGCCTATTATGCTCTTTTTTTCATTAACATGCTAGACCTATTTCCTTGATTTCAAGCTTTAACACCATCACTGAAATAAGAAGTGATACTTGACAGCTAACAGCTCCTATTGATATTACATGATAGACCCTACTGTGTTAACAGGTGAATCCATAGATTCACAGATCAGATGTGGAAGTTCTTTGACTGGAAAACGCTGATGTCTGCCACACATGCAGCAGTAAAGGATTATATATTTACTGTGGAGAAAACAAGATGATAGGGAGCAGCACTATCAAGAGTCTCTGAACCACACTGTGCCAGTACATTGCTAGATGCAGCCACACCAAAACAAAAATGGGATTGCTAGTGGTTTCCTCCTAGAGGGGTTTTTAGTGAACAACAATATACCTGCATGCTAGTCATTACACCTTTGCTGACATGAAAGCTGCTCTTTCAAGTCTTCCTTCCAGAACTCCAAGGTAATCTTTCTCATTCAGCACCAAGGGAAGAAGGGAGCTCCTGAGAATGGAAATCTCTATCTTTGGAAACAATCTTAAAAGGCTAGAGTCCTATCGACTACCTCAGCAGTCACACAGAGATTTAGGTAGCTCCTTGGGTAGCAGAAAGGTTGAAAGTTTGATTACCAGGCTGAGCTTCACTGTGAGAACAGGAGAGAAGTGAGTGAGCCTGGTCTTTCTCTGAAAGACTGTGCCGAAAGAGGAAGGAAAGAGAGCCTGGACATATTTCATCTTTAGAAAGTGACATGTATTTCATCCTAAGAAAGTGACATGTCAATGAAATGGAAACTGAGAGACATTTCAGGTGAAGAGCAGGTAACAGATGTAGCTTTGGAAAGAAAAAGGTAATTGGGAGAACTGAGATTCTGCCCGAGAGCTGAAAAAAGTTGCAGGGTTGTTGTGTTCTAATGCTGATTCCTTTTCCTTTTTTCTCATTCCTGGGAGGAAAAAACCTGTGGAGCCTGACCTTCCTTTTCCCTTGGTGACATCCAGACTTTCATCCAGTCTTTCTGTTCTAGCAGACCACACTCATTCCCTGTCCTTTTCACTTCTGACTGTCTCCAGTGCTATCAGGGGTCAGACTATGGTTAAAAAGAAATCCACACAAGCAGCTTAGTAACTAAGGGCAGACGGTTCAGTTTTTTCAGGAATTTGGTGTTATTGGCAACTTTGCCATTCTTATTTAAGGTGAAATATTTAATGCTTTGCTTTCAGAAACTAAAAATATAAGTTATTGTAGCATGATGGAAACTGAAGAGAGTTTATGGGTGAGGAATCTGAGAGTGCTTGGGCTGAAGAATTGCTTTGGATGTGATAGTGTCATAGCTACTTTGCTAAGAAATGTGAAGACAAGGGCACAGCCCTTTTAATTACACTGCATATGTCTTCCAAACTGCTATATGCTCCTGTGAATTGGTATTTGAAGCTCACCTTTAGGATATAAAATTAATTCTTATTATCACAGGCAATCAGCACCCTTGGTTTATGCCTGATTGAATTTGCTGGTTAGTGTTTTTGCACTGCTTTTTACGGTTCAGATGGACTCTTATTTACTTTACTGTGTTCATTGAGTTATAGAAATGATCCCAGTATTTATTACAAACATTACTGATACATTACTTGAGGGTGTCTTTAAAGATTATTTTTTGATCAGCTGCTAGGAGATCCCATAGCTCTGTTTAAATACAGAATTTTAGGTTGTGTTTTTTTTTTTTTTTTTACATGAGACTCATAATGTAAGAGATAATTTAATTTTTAACTTGAGAAATTTCTCTGAATATGGGATCAATACAGTAACATTTGTAGTACAGATATGTGTATATATGAAGTTTTTTTTTCTTACTATTTTACCTATGCATTATTGAAAGCACAGAAAAATTCAGTAGTCTTTCCATGTGGTGATTATCATCACATGCTAAATGTCTTTAAGTAAAGATTTGAGAAAATCACGTATTTTTAACTCTTCATTTAGCATTCTGCAACCTTATAATGGAATTTTCCAGAACTGAATAAAAGTCTTTCAAATATGCAAAGACGAAAAAAAATGCAATAGTTAAAGGGCAGGTCACAATAATGGATGAGTTAAAAATAAAAATATGTATGAATGGCATGTGATTTACATAGAAATATATTATTTCCTTTTTATTTTTTATTTATAGTCATTGCTTAGTCCTGGTACCAATCAAGACCCTATCACTCTTTCTTCCCAGTAACTTATTTAACATCTGAATATTGCCCACAATTACTGGGCAAAGTTTTATGAATTTCTGGTCAATTATTTTGGAAAGGTGGCCAGGAAAAATTAGAAAGAGCTATTCTGATTAGATAGTTAAGATGTATATAATCATTAAGTAGTATAACGGTTCAATTTGATTTTTCATTTACCTTTTGGTGTTTTAGAAACAGAAGTTGATTTTGATTCAGAATAAAGCAGTCATCTTTTCTGAGAAAAAAAATCTCTTTCACTGCCTATGTGTGGAGAGAGCACACTGCACAGGAATTTGGATTATTAGCTCTAATCCTTGTTTTCTCAGTGACCTTGGACAATTGCTCAATATTTTGTAGTGTGGCTTCCTCATTGGTAGAATGAGACAGGAATACCTCCCTCCCTGGGGTGTTCTGAGATGTAATTAATTGTTTGAGCAGCAAGAGAAAAGTGATATAGATGTGCTGAGCAGAAGATCCAACAGAAACCAGACATAGGTTTAAAATGAGAACTCATAGAATGACTTTCTTTAGACAATTCAATTTGTGCTGTTTTTCTAGTAAGCCTCCATAGAAAGATGGATGGAGACAAAATACTACTTGTAAAGATTTGGAAAATTTGTCCTGCACAAGCTAATGACTGAAGCTCAACTAACTTTGGCAAATATAGTATTTGAGCCCAAGAATTCACACAGAAAAGACAGCTGCATTTTTCTTGGGTCCTAATTGGACAAGTATATATTATTTTAGACAAAAATCCAAGAACAGATTTTTTGTTGTTTTTTTTTAGGAGAACATGCATTTTTTTCACTCTTTCAAATCACAAATGGTGCCTTTCTTATTTGAAATTTGGAGTTTTGAGAAAACAAGAAATGTTTTCAAAACACAGGCTCAAACCAATTTAGCTAGCTTACACCACTCTAAGTACCCTTTA